CACACACACACACACACACACACACACACACACACACACATATCAGCAGTTTCCTTCCCCTTCAATGGCTGCTCCGGGTTTGAAACTTTCAAAAGAAAAAAAGTTAGAGGAAAAAAGTAAGGTGAAAGTTAAGTTGACCTTTAGAACAACAGATGAGACTTTTTGAACATAGGTTCAAAATAGACAGCAACATTTTTCCAGATGCTTTCATCTAGAACTTCATTCTCCCTCATTCAAGGAGAAACAATGCAAAAAAAAAAAAAAAAAAAAAAACCTTACTATAAATTTACCATTATTCAAATTATTCAATGACACAAAAGGGAAAAATAACTAAGAATTAACCTTGAACACTACTGCCACAATAAAATAATTTTAATAAACAAAGCATGTCCCCCTAAACCTGATTCTCTTTCAATGTTCTGTTTCTCAGTGAATTTCATCACAATCCATCCAGTTAAATAAATCAAAAATCTAGGTGTAGCCAATGACATTTTGTCTTTTCAACTTTCATATCTAATGTAATTCCCAGCTCTACCACCCCAACATCTCTGAAATCCATTCACTTCTAATTAATTATCTTTTACAATTTACCTCCACCTTCTCTAGATTAATACTATCTCTCAGTGGGCTACTCCAGCAATCTCCTAACTGGTCTCTCAGTCTTCTGCCCTTGATAATCAGTTTTCCTCTGAATAAATACTATGAAATACTTTTTCATATCACTTAACATAATTGTAAAGTTAAATCTCTTTATCTGATTTACATCTGCTTCCTCTGTTACAGTAAATTCTACAAAGGTAGTAACTATATTTACTCACTACTACATCACTGTGGCCTAGAAAAGTACCCAATTATAAATAAATGCTAAATGATTGAATGTGTGTCAGAGATTACATCACTCATTGTAAGGATACCTTATGACATCAAGCCTCCATCACAGAATTTTATATTTAACTCTGAAATTAAAATTCATCTTACTATTAATACTCTTAATCTGTTTAAATAACAATATTTCTTTTCTCTTACTGAATCATAAAATAATGATGCTTTTTGGAATTTTTTTTTAATCTCATGATTCACAATTCATCTGGGGGGCTCACTCATTTCAAACTGGTAATCTAGCTTTTCTTCTTCCTTGGCTACTATCCCACTCTCAACAATCAATAATTAACAAACCTATAGGTTCTTTCACCAATATATTTCTTTATTCCATTTTCAATAAAGTCACTCTAAATCTAACTCCTCATTACTTCTCATCTGAGCTGTTACTGTGACTTCATTTATTTAAACTTTTATTTTTCCAAATTCAACCAACATTGTGCACTTACTACATTCAAGAAAACTGAAGACACAAAGTAGCTCTCTATTTACCCCTCTCTCTAATTGCTCTCCCTAAAATTTAGCCTTAGGAATTTTTGTTCATTTTATGCTTCTATCTGGAATTACTCTTTTCCCTATTCCTACCTATAAAATCTCTACCCATTATTAAAATTCCAGATTAAATCTCATCTTCATAAAACCTTCCCTAGTCAACCTCTCTTTTCGACTTTAACATTCAAAAATGCATAAAATCTAACAATTATTACCTATACTTTCTGCTTCCTTAGGCAAAGTTTACATTTCATATATTCTTCTAGACTATAAACTCCCCAAGAGCAGGAGCTTCTGTTTGTCTCTTTTGTTCACTGCTCTATCACCTGCACCTAGCAGAGTAACTGATACAATAAAGCTACAAAGCAAGATCTTTATACATTCCAGGATGCAGAACAAATCTTTGCAACTGTAGTACAGTGGGAAGAATAAAAAATAAAAATTAAAAAAAAAAACTGGACTGAAAGACATACACTCTTTGAGCTTCAGTTTGTTCATTTGCTAAATGTAAATAATAATCAGTGGCTCGATGAACTGTTACAATTAATGAAGATAATGCTTCAAAAGCATTTGGTACAGATGCCAGGCAGGTGGCACACACCTGTAATCCCCATGGGGATGGAGGGGCGGGGATGGAGGGATGGAGAGTTCAAAGCCAGCTTCAGCAAAAGCGAGGCGCTAAGCAACTCAGTGAGACCCTGTCTCTAAATAAAATACAAAATAGGGCTGGGGATGTGGCTCAGTGGTCAAGTGCCCCTGAGTTCAATCCCTGGTACACCCCCATCCCCTGCAAAAAAAAAAAAAAAAAAGCATCTGTATAGATAAGGACAAGAGAACACTTATCAGTGAATGTTCTGATGACTGTATTAAAGAGTAAGAAGTATTCAATGACTATTAAACAAAATCTCAGAAAAGTATCAATTTGAAACTCAGGAATATCGGGAAAATATTTTTAAATTTGAATAATGTCTAGTTTCTTAGGTTTTTCCATTAAAGAGTTCCATGAGTTAATTAATTCTGAAATATACATTTAGCCCCAAATTTTAAGCATGGCTGAAACCATTTCAGATTAATTAGGAATAATCCCAATTTGATAATACAAGTATTAATGTTAATTTTATGGACAGGTATAGATTGTATTGTTAAAGAAGAATGATAACTTACTATAATATATAATGCAATAATAAGAACAGTAGTTGCAAAATCTTTTGAGTTAGAAATGGCAAACTCATTTGAGTTGTTAGTCTCAGAAAGCAAGGGGAAAAAAAATTTTGTCTACAAAACACTAGTGAATAGTATTCAAAGCCCTTTACCAAATCTAGAAATACTTCATAATTATCACAAACACTTTTTTCAACATATGTACATCCCATTTCACAGAAAAAAAGAGCACCAATAGCTTTCAAACTTACTAATTATACAACTTCTTATGTTTTCTGCTTTTTAACTTTAAACAGTTCTCAAAATTTTATAGCAAGTGAATTGATCAGCAATTCAATACAGCATCAGATTACCTGACTAATTAGAACCCCTTCACTGTTAAGGAAAAAGCTTTATCAATTTGAAACTCAGAAAAGACATAGATTTTTCCTTTAAAGCCTTTCCAGTTCCTCTAAGTACTTTCAATGATTCATAATCTAATTATAAATCACAAGCAAGAAGGAAAGACCACTCCCTTGTGCATCTATGTGCTATCAACTGACACAAAATCACTGCAAAAAAAAAAAAATCCATTGGGACATACAGTACGGAAAACAAAAGAAAATTCCCATCTAAGTCATTTAAACATAAAAGGCTGTAGGACAAGGTATTCTCCTCAAGTC